TAAAAAGGGGGGGAGAAAAAAAAAAAAAAAAAAAAAAGGCATGACAGATCACTAGTCCTGGTTATAATTTACACAATTTGCATGGAAATTGCTGTCAGTCCTAGCCTACCCTATATACACATGGCAGAGGGTTTGGGAGAAAAGGGTATGGTGAAAGAGAAAGGAGAAAAGGAGAGGTGGATTAAAGTGACAGAGAGAGAAAGAAAAAGGGAGAGAAAAAGGACCAGCAGTCCTGATTCCTTCATCAATCCAGATGATGGGATGTCATTCCTGTTTCTGCCATTGATGCAGGTGATAAAATAGATGTCCATGGTCCTGTAAGCACTTCCCAGGATTTAGGGGCTTCCTTTTTAGGGGTGGGTTTCCCTGCCCTAAAACCAGGTTTTTTGCTTGCTGTGCCTATTAGTTGTCACGCACAGTTCATTTTTTCAGACCTTTCTGGAAATGGGTCAGAGGCTTTGTCATGGTTCTTGCATGGTCTTGACTCTGCTCTACAGCCCGTGCTCACTTCTTGGCTTCCTTCCTACCTTTTGCTGTACTGCGTTGTGTTTACCTCCAGGCACTAGAGCAATGATGTTTGTCCCACAGAAGTGGTGTCCAACCTCTGCATGGCCCCCTTCTCCATTCACAACTTGTTCTTTCTTATGTGCGCTTATTACCAACAGTGCTGGGTTCCTCCCAACAGCTCTGGCATGTTTTTACTAGGAGTCCGTGACTGACTCCACAGCCGTGCAGCTATCAGTGTTTGAGACACACACGCTGGCCTCTTCTCTGCTGGCATTCTCCACCTGTGTTGCTCCCATGGGATGCTGAGCAGGCTCCGGGCCAGCCAGCATGGCTGGGGCCCGAGCCGGGGCTGGCAGTGGGGCACTAATGCTCAGAGCGTCCCCCATGGCCACGCAGGCACATCGGCACTCAGAGCCCGGAGTGCCCACCTGAAGTGGGAGGGATGCTGGCTGCGGACAGCCTGAGCCCTGCTGAGCCCATGGGCTTCCCTCTGGCAGCCCTGCCCTGGCACCTTGCTGAAGGCCTGTGCCTCGCAAGGGGTGAGCCCCTCTTATGCAGGAGAAGTGAAGCTTTGGCCTCTGTCCCTTTGTGTCTGGCCTTGGTGTGGCTTGTCTTCCCTTTTGGATGGTTCTTTGTCACCTCCTGCTTAGGACAGGTCATGGACTCTGTAATCTTCCCTTTGCTACAGCTCTTGCTTGAGATTCCCCCTTACAGCCATAGAAAATATAATTGACAAAACTCCAGAATGGGGCCTGGAATTGAACTTTATTGGCAGTAAAGGCATAAATATGATCCTTCCAGTGCAGTTCTAAGCAGGATAATTTGTGAGAATAAGCTTTAGTAAGCATTTAGAGAGACGAAGCATTTATGAATATTCTGAAGCGAGCTTCCTGAAAAGAGACCGTTTTGTTGAGGTGATTCTTCCCTTGTTAAACTGACTGCAATGTATTTTCATTGTCTGAAAGACTTTCTTGCTTTTTGCACAGATTTGTGTGGTTCCTCTGTGTTAGTTATAGCTGTGTTCATTGTTTTAACAAGCTGAAAACTCCAGGTATGTCCACTTTTGAGAAACGTTCTAGGGAACAGTTCAATGTGGCTGGCTTTTAAATGTGTGTTATCTTTCACTTACATTTAGCTCAACATAGCAATGACATTTAATTTTACAAGTCTCTGAACACATCTTCAAAAATTTGATATGTTTCCTGTTTTTTTTAATATTTAGAAAATATATACTGAGTTAGTCTTTATTTGTATTTCTGCCTTTTAAAATTACTCCAAAGATGAACAGAGTATAACTGGAGTGGTGGTATGATCTCACTTCAATAGTGATTGCAATACTAAGTGATTTCGTGCCTACAAATCAGACCTCCATCTTGATTCTTAGGTATCTCAGTGCCAAAAAAAAAAATTCTGAAGAAACTTATCAATTGGACTTATGAGATGCTGATAAATATGGGGTTTAATTCTATGATATGTACTAGCCTGGTTTTAGGATATAACATGTAATCAAGATGCTATTTCCACTTAATAGCTCTCATTACTGGGAGGGTTTTCCTGAAAATGTCTGAATTTCCTCTTTCTTAGTCTTTTACATTTAAATTTAATTTTAAATTTATCTAATATTAATGAAATAAATTGATCTGAGATAGTGTTGGTTAAAAGGATAAATTTTCTTACCCAAATAATATTGTTACTTTAT